TCTTCATCAAATCTAGTGCGAAAATTACTCAGGTTTTACTGTTTCTTCAGATGTTGATTTTTTTATGAAGACTAATGTTTCTTAAGACTTACTTTAAGTAAATTTACATGTTTTCTCCTACTACTCTATCTTGGTCAATTGAATTTTCAAAGCCAGCCAGGGATCCCAAGAAGGTGAAGTAAAAAAAAAAAAAAATTCCCCTAAATTTCTAAGAAATTACAATGAAATATGTCCTGAAGCTTTTCTTTGGTCTTGTCTTTTAAGACTCATAGATTTAGGTCTTGCATTGAGGTCTTTGTTCCATCTTCAGTTAATTTTTGTATATGGTGAAAGGTAAGGGTACAGTTTATTCTTTTGCATGTAGATATCTAGTTTTCCCACAACCATTTGTTGAAAATGTCTTTTTTTCTATGGAATGGTCTTGGCTTCCTTATCAGGAGTCATTTGACTGTGATTGTGAGAGTTTATTTCTGGGCTCTCTATTCTATTCCATTGTTCTGTCTGCATTCATGACAATACCACACTTTTGATTACAGTGTGAAAGCATGATAGTCACTCTGTTGTCTGACTCTTTGCTCCCCATAGACTGTAGGCCTCCAGGCTCCTCTCTTCATGGGGTTTCCCAGGCAAAGGTACTGGAGTGGATAGCCATTCCATTCTCTAGGGGATCTTCCCGACCCAGGGATTGAGCCATGGTCTCCTGCGTCGCAGGCACATTCTTTTTTTTTTTTTTTTCCATTTATTTTTATTAGTTGGAGGCTAATTACTTTACAACATTGCAGTCGTTTTTGTCATACATTGAAATGAATTAGCCATGGGTTTACATGTATTCCCCATCCCGGTCCCCCCTCCCACCTCCCTCTCCGCCCCATCCCTCTGGGTCTTCCCAGTGCACCAGGCCTGAGCACTTGTCTCATGCATCCAAGCAGGCACATTCTTTACTGTCTGAATCACCATGGAAGCTTTGCCAGAAGCTTGAAATCAGCAAGTGTGATAGCTTTAACCTTGTCCTTCTTTTTCAGAATTGTCTGGCCATTCAAGCTCTCCAGGCTTACTGTTATGACACAGTTACAAAGAGGACAAAATTTGTAAAACACTTGTGAGGGTTCATCAGTTTTTTCTAAGAATCTTTCTTAATTTTTTGATACTCAAATCAGTGTGAAGTCTGTGAAGTATCTGTCGTGTCATCATCCCTGTAAATTTGTCTTCATCTGTTCACTGGAGCAGCTCTTCCATATGAGTGTCTTTCTAAGTGTCTGAACTGTGCTTTGATATCATGAAATCCTGCATCTTTTACAAGATGTAAAATTCTTTTTTGAAATAGATTTGCTCTTATATTTTGTGGTGCTAATAGATGTATACCTGTGCTAACCAGTGTGTGCTGCCTCAGTTGTCTCATTACATTAGCAGATCTTTTGTTAAGTAGGGAGGGATCTTAAATGTAGACTAATTGTTATAAATTGTCACTTGTGTAGTGAATGTTTTTTACATAATTAAACTTTGTGAGTTTGGGGTTTCTGATGGTAAGTAGTCATTGTTGAGGCTATCAGAATGGATATGTTCCTGAGAATAAAGTGCTTTGAGAGAGCTGGAAAGAAAACCAAAGTGCTCACGAGTCCACTGACTTTTAGAGAGTTGAGGGCAAAAACATTAAGCATTCCTTCCTGGGGAATGAGTTCTTAAGGAATTATGATAAGAATTTGACTAATTAAATAAAAACTGGTATTAAACAAAGAATTTCAGATTAGTTTCTCAGGAAGAATGATTACCCAGGAAAGAGAAATGTGGGATGTGGTATCATTCTGTAAGAAAGAAAGAGGAAAAAAGGATGACAGATGGAAAAGAACCTTGGGTTTCAATTTCTTTTAGAATAAAATGGAGGTAAGATATGTGTCTCCCATTGAGCTCCCATTGTCACACATGTTTTTTTTTTTTCTTTCATGTTCTTATTTTTATGCACAAATTTTTTGCAGAGATGCAATTAGAGACCATACAAAGCTTCTCATTTTTGAATTTATGTTGAACACTATTGCCTCTCCATGTTTCCTGGCCCGTGAACTACTCCTGCAGGGCTTTTGTCACAGCTGGCATCCACCCACCTTGACGTTAGTTACTAACAGCTGAGAGTATTTCCCTTCGGAACTACCTGCAATTTAATGAGGGATTCTAGATATTTAGTAGAACCATATACAAAACAAAAGTTATAAATATATATGGAGGCGTTTCAAGCACATGTATAAAGTCGTTGTTTTATTCATTCTCTACTCATTTCTACTAAGGGTGTTTATTGAGTTTTGTGCTCACAGTATTAGATTGAGAACACAAAAATAAATCAGTCCTTAAGAAGTTTGCTATCTAAGTTCTCAACCAGGAGGCATAATAGCACTATCCCCATGTTTGAACATACCTGGGGGCAGTTTGGTTTGTTCCAATGACTTGGGGGACATTACTGGTATTTAGTGGGCAGAAACACTCTGGAAAGATTTGCATAGAGAAGAATTATCCGGCCCTAAACAGTGGTGTCTCCATTGATAAACAAACGCTAGAAAAAGAATACTAGTAGCAGTGATTTATTCTATACCATACTGTCTTAAGCACCTTACCTGCATTGCTGAACTTCACCTTGACACGCTGGGCTTCCCTGGTGGCTCAGCTGGGAAAGAATCCGCCCGCAACGCGGGAGACCTGGGTTCAGTCCCTGGGTTGGGAAAATCCTCTGAAGAAGGGAACAGCTACCCACTCCAGTACTCTGGCCTAGAGAGTTCCATGGACTGTATAGCCCATGGGGTCACACAGAGTCGGACTCGACTGAGCGACTTTCACTTTCTCACTTTCACTTGACATTTTGGAGTCAATACTACACTTTTTTGAATAGCTGAAAGGATAAACAAGTCTTTCATGGTTATGCTGCTAAGTAGATGGCAGAACCAGATTTTAAACAGTGTTCTAGATTAGACCCCAGGACCTATAATTTTAATGACAATTAAATAACTTTTTATTATATTATATTCATAATTATAAAACTATTGTTTTAATAATAATTTAATAACAATTTTAATAACTGGCACATAGAGCTTCTTAAGGTAAAGGTAAAACAGAACATGGAGATCTGCATGCATGAGCATGCAGAACATGCATGAGCAAACCCAGAGGGCACAGACTATGATTCATTCATCTCTCTTCCTTAGGCCTAGTGCAAGGACTGCCAAAATTCCTCTCCTCTAACCTGTCATTTTTGCCTGGAGAATCCCAGAGGTGGGGGAGCCTGGTGGGCTGCTGTCTATGGGGTCGCACAGAGTCAGACACGACTGAAGTGACTTTAGCAGCAGCAGCAGCACCTGTCATTTTATTTAGTTCAATAGACTTTAAAAATAATTCACATCCAAAAAAGTTAAAAAATGCCACACCTCAGGGTGCCTCCCCATAGGGAAGGAGCGTGCCCAGATCCTGCAGGATATTCAGGAAAGTCATCCACACAGGGACCTGACCACACCGCACACTGGCTGGTTCACAGGACTTATTATCCTATCCTAGACATCCTGGTTCTATTAGCCCTAGCTGCAGGGACCAAAAGTTTCCTCTGCCCCTTCTGAAATATTAGATAATGTCAGTGCAGGGGGATAATACACTCTTTCTGTATTTCTGCCCTGCAGTGCAGCAACTGTTGCTCTTGGGGATGATTGTGCTAATTCTTAGGTCATTAACGCCAAGGACTACATGACTACACACTACTCTAACCAGAGAGAATGCAAAACAGTGCAATACATCTTTCTGGAGCATGAGGTTTAGTAAGATTGAACCAAGGGAAGAACCAAAGGGTTGGCAATAACTATCCTCTCCCCCACCACATGGAAGACAGAAGTGTGGGGGATGGGGACATGCCCCAGGGGACAGTCCAGTCTCTGAAGTTTCACCCAGCAGGGGAGGAGGGGCAGCCAGGCCAGGGTGGCGCCTCTTCTGGTCGCCCAGGCCCCTCCAGAGCATCCTCTGTGCTGGCCAGGGTTCTGGACAGGAGGCTTCCTGAAGGGGTGGAGGTGCTGGGTTTGAGTCCCATCATCCAGGTGGGAATATGCTGAGGTCCCAGGGGGCTTGGCAGGTCATCCACTGGGTGTTTCTGGGCTCACTTTATTTTTACCCCTCTTGCTGGGCAGCCCACAGCAAAGGTATTTAAATAGACCTCTCCAGATTCTCCCAGCCACCCCCGTCTTTTTCTGGGTGAGGCCAGGGGGAGTGACTGTGGAGATATTCTCGGGCTGCCCAACAAGGGTGGAGCTTCCCGCATCAGGCACATCTGGGGGGCAGTGGGTCCCTTCTGGGACTTCACCGCTGACGTCATGGGTGCTGCAGGCGTCACAGGTGCCCCTGGTGTCCCGGGTGACGGTAACATGAGGATCGTGGGTGCTGTGGGCACCACTGGTGTCACTGGCGAGACAGGTGTCACTGGCGACACTGGCGCCGCAGGTATCGCGGGAGCCACGTGCGTCTTCTGTGCTGCAGGCCCCAGTGCTGTCCTGGGTGCTTAGGGAGTCATGGCTGAGGCTGGTATCACAGGTGAAGCTGGTGTCACAGGTGCTGCAGGCGTCACAGGTGAAGCTGGCACCACTGGTATTGCAGCTGTTGCAGGCGCTGCTGGTGTCGCAGGCGTCTCTGGTGTCCCGCGTAGCACTGGTATCACAGGTGTGGCTGCTGTCACGCCTGTCGCAGGTGTCACAGGTGAGGCTGGCCCTGCACGTGTCGTGGCGGTCACCGGCGTGATCGGTGGCTCGGGCGATGCTGTCTTCATGGGTGTCGTGATTGGAGGGGGCTGAGCTGGGGGTGACGGTCCTCGCCTCCGGGCAGGGTGGGGGAGTGGCAGGCTCTCTGGTCGTCTCCGTTGACTCCTGGCTCTCCTGCTGCTGAATGGTATCCCAAAGCCAGTCGGGAATAAGCATGGACACTTCAGGGCTGGCGGGAGGCGTATGTTCTTGGCTGCTGAGGTCGGAGGAAATGGCTGGCCTCACAATGATGGTGCGGGCCCCCACCTTGGGTTCATCCCTGTCACTGCCACTGCTTGTAAGCCAGCCCTGGATCTGGTCCCTCCACCAGCCCAGTACCATCTCCGCTGTCACCCCAGGGTACTCTTCACAGGCTGGCGGGAGTGGCTCCTCCTGGCCCATGTTCACCCATGGATGCTGCCAAACATCATCTAAAGTCCCTCTATTGGAAGGGTTGAGCGTTAGCATCCTCTGTATTAAATTCGTGATTTCACTTGATAGGTGTTTGGGCACATGGTACTGCCCTCTGAGGATGCACTGCCGCAGCTCCCAGAAATCTTGTCCCCTGAAGGGGAGGGATCCAGTTACCATGGTATACAGGACGACGCCGAGGCTCCACACATCCACCTCTGGGCCTGTGTAAGGCAGCCTCAGGAAGAGTTCTGGGGCCGTGAACGCAGGGCTGCCGCAGAAAGTGTCTAGCTTCTCTCCTGGGTGCCACTGGTTGCTAAGGCCGAAATCCGAAATCTTTATATTGTTGTTGGCATCAAGGAGAAGGTTGCTCAGCTTCACGTCCCGGTGCACCACGCCCTGCTGGTGGCAGTGCTGGAGAGCCGAGACCAGCTGGCGGAATGCGCCTCGGGCCTCACCCTCCGTCAGGCAGCCTTGGACCTCCAAGTAGGTGAATAAGTCTCCCCCACTGAGGTACTCCATCACTATGAACAGAGAGTCTGGTGTATCGATGACCTCCAGGAGTTTCACGATATTTGGGTGGTTTACCATTCTCATACTGTTAACCTCTCGAAACAGTTCCTGGAGGTCGGAGAAGTTCTGATGTGTCTTTTCAATGACCTTGATGGCTACCATTCCCTTGGTCAGAACATGCCGGGCCAGTTTCACTTTGCCGAATTGGCCTTCACCAATTGTGTGAAGGATCTCATAATTTTCGATACGAGCCATCTTGTTAGTGGAGATGGCTATGAAGCCCTGCATCCCTAACTATACTAACTACCACTAAGCTATACTAATTACCTAACTATACTAACTCTACCACTAACTATACTACCACTAAGCCCTCACTAAGAATGCTAACAGTGCTATACAACTATTCTAATGCTAACACCTATAGCAACTATGCTAACTATATCAATGATACTCTCTATACTAATACTAGCAACACTAACTAAAATAATAATAAGAAGAAGAAGATAAAATGAGAAAAAGAAGTAAGGGGAAAAATGGGAAAAAACAAAAAATGAGGAGGAGAAACTAAAACTGAAACAAAAAAATGGTAAGACACAAATTTAAAAAATGAGAAAAAGACAAAGAAAAAAGAGAAACATAAAAAAGAGAAAAAGGAAAAAAAAATCAACAAAATGGCAAAAACACGGAAAAAAGCTCGCTAGCTGTAGGTCCAGCCGTCAGGTCACCAAAATCAGCTTCCTGGGCTCTGTGGACAAAAACCTGCACCAGCTGGGGTCTTATAAAGGGTTTTTGTGAGTTTCATCACAGTGATGCCCTGTGAGGTCAGAGCAAGAAATGGACCAGTCGTGGCTGGGGATAAACCCAGTGGTTTTTCTCCCTTTTCAGCTTCAAGGCCCCTTTACACTTAGGTAAAAGGTCCCAAAGAGATTTTTCTTTAAATATATTAGAGACTGGTATTCACTTTGTTAGAAAGTAAAATCTGTAGGAGGCTTCAGCAACTTTTTGATTTCTAGTTTGAAAGTTAGTAATAATTTTAAAGACCTCATAATGTCTCCACTTGAAATATTCTTTTTCCTTAAACTCTGGTGGCAATGTGATGATTTAACTGACTTGATGAAACTATAGGAAAGGTTCTATTGTGTGAGACACTGGTAAAGCACATTATTAATGTTTATGAAGGCGAGAGAAGATTTGCCAGGAGGATCAAGAGCAGATTTCTCATCGGGAGCCTCAGAAGTCAGATGACATGGGTCAGTGTCTTTGAAATGTGTTGAAGGAAAGAAGGAAATGTTAACCAAGAACTCTATGTTTAGCAAAGCTGTCCTTTAACATCAAAGAGTGATGGAGGCATTCCCAGTTCAGGAGAGTTGGGAGGATCCCAGCTGCCCGATCTGCCCGAGCCAGGGAGCCCTTCGGTGGGAAGGAGAGACCCTCAGCAGTGACTCTGAGCTTCACGAAGAGAGAAGGGTCTCCGGCAAAAGGAGACGCATGGAGGCTTAGAAAGCCAGCGCTGCACCGCTGTATTAGAGTGGGCAACCAGCTCGGACCTACTGCATAGCATAGGGACTCTGCTCAATGACCTGTGGCAGCCTCGATGGGAGGGTAGTTTGGGAAAGAATGGATACACGTGTATGTATGGCTGAGTTCCTTTGCTGTCCACCTGAAATTATCACATTGTTCATCAGCTATGTTGTCGTGCAGTCACCTAAGTGTGTCCAGCTCTTTGTGACCCCATGGATGGCAGCATGCCAGGCCTCCCTGTCCCTCACCATCTCCTGAAGTTTGCCCAAGTTCATATCCATTGTGTCAGTGATGCCATCCAGCCATCTCATCCTCTGACACCCTCTTCTCCTTCTGCCCTTAATCTTTCCCAGCTTCAGGGACCTTTCCAAAGAGTTAGCTATTTGCATCAGGTGACCAAAATACTGGAGCTTCAGCATCAGTCCCTCCAATGAGTATCCAGGGTTGATTTCCCTTAAGATTGACTGGTTTGATCTCTTGGCTGTCCACGGGACTCTCAGGAGTCTTCTCCAGCACCACAGTTTGAGGGCATTAATGCTTTGGTACTCTGCCTTCTTTACGGTCTAGCTCTCACAACCATACGTGACCACTGGGAAGACCATACAGACCTTAGCTGACGGAGTAACGTCTCTGCTTTTCAACACACTGTCTAGACAAAAAGAGATGACACTGAAAGATGAGCATAAAATTAAAAGTTAAAGAAAAAGAAAAACCAATACTATTGTAACTCTGATTTGAAGCTCCAGTTTTTGTTTTCAATTTGATTTGAGACTAATATATAATAAACATTTCTAATACTTTTTTTTTTAATTTGGGAGAAAAATCTGATTGGTCTCTAAAATAAATGTATGTTTCAGACCTCAAGGATAGCATTTGTAAGTCTTTGTCCTCCAATATGAAGGCAAACCAGGGTCAGATCCCTTTGAATGCATCAGCTAAATGACAGAAGCTACAAAATAAACTGATGTGAGGCAATAATTGCAATAAGAGCAGACTTCAAGAAATGGAACTGAGGAAACTAGCAATAGGTGCATTAAGGTCTCAGAACCCATACTCCAGATACCACCTTGAATAATATAGTAAAAAATATCCAGTAAAAATTTTTATGAAATGTGTAGACCCTGTATTAGTAATAGTCTGTGTGCATATGTGCTAAGTCACTTCAGTCATGTCCAACTCTTTGTAACCCTATAGACTATATAGCCCGCCAGGTTCCTCTGTCCTTGGGATTCTCCAGGCAAGAATACTGGAGTAGCTTGCCATGCCCTCCTCCAGGGGATCTTCCCAGCCCAGGAATGGAACCAGCATCTCTTGTGTCTCCTGCCTTGGCAGGTGAGTTCTTTACCACTAGCGCCACCTAGCAAGCCCTAATAGTCCGCAGGGTGCCATCCCAGGAAAGCACACACCGTGTGCCTTAAATGGCAGCAATTTATATATTTTCACAGTTCTAGAGGGTTGAAGTCCAGAATCAGGATTTTGTCAGGGTTGGTTTGGATCAGACTTCTCTCACTGGCTTGTACACAGCCGCCTTCTATTGTTGTTGTTGTTTAGTTACTAAGTCATGTCCAACTCTTCTGCAACCCCGTGGACAGGACTGTAGCCCACCAGGCTCCTCTGTCCTGTCCTCACAGAACCTCTTCTCTGTGCACACACACAGACAGACAGTTCTGGTGTCTCTTCCTCTCCGTATAAGGACACTTCCTGCTGGATTAAGGCCCCACCCTTTGGCCTCATTTAACCACTAACCTCCTTATAAAGCCTATCTCCAAATAGAATCACACTGGTCCTTAGGGCTACAGTATTTACATTTTGAGGGAAAACAGTTTGGTCTGTAGCATTCTGTCTTTTGTTCCCCCCACTTCATGTCCTTTTCATGTGCTATTAAAATACACTAATCTCAATATCCCTAGAAGTCTTAAGCCATTCCAACATTGATTCCAAGTCTAAAGTCTCATTAAAATGTCACTTGATCAGGCATGGGTGAGAAGTGATACATAAAATTAACCCTCACAGGACCCATAAAGAAAATATAACACTTTCTTGAAACATAAATAACAGAAAAGTTGAACACGTAAAGGTATTCTCAGTGCTGTAATGGAGCCTATTCCATTAAATGAACTGAAACAGGTATTTCCAATTCAGAGTGCTGTAGAATTCTTTTTTTCAGAACGTAAGATGGGAGAATGAGTAAGGACAAGAGATTTTGAGAAAAGCAAATTATTGGAAGTATAAAAAGCCTTCCCTTATCTGATGTCAAAGGTCCTGCAAAGCTGTTGTAAGTAAAATAGAGCAGCATCAGTGCGTGTTGAGTAGACACGAGGAGACTCAAAATAGACATGAGTCAGGGAGGATAATTAGAATACAGAAACAGACCCATGTTAAATGAGTTTAAAGTTCAAAAGCAGTTTGTCATAGAGGGAAGAGTTTTAAAAAATGAAAAGTATAAAACCATAGGAAAGTTTTAAGGACATTAAAGAAGACCTACTAAATAAATGAAAATACATCATATACTGATGGATCACAAAACTTAGTATTATTCACATGACAGCAAATTGATCTGCAGACTCAACACAATGCCTATCAAAACCCTAACTTCTATGCAGAAATTGACAAGCTGAACCTAACGTTCATACAGAAATATAAAAGACCCAGGATAGCCAGAACAATCTAAAAAAAGAACAGAGTTGGAGGGCTCAGACTTCTCAGTTTCAGAACTTAATGCAAAACTGTAATAATCAAGGTGGTATGGTACTAACATGGGCTTTCCTGGTAGTTTAGTGGTAAAGAACCTGCCTCCCAATGTAGGAGATGTGGATATGATCCCTGGGTCAGGAAGATCCCTGGAGAAGGAAGTGGCAACCCACTGCAGTATTCTTGCCTGGGAAATTCCATGGACAAATGAGCCTGTTAGGCTATAGTCCATGGGATCTCAGAGTCAGACACAATTTAGTGACTAAACAACAAAAATAAGACCATTTCCACTTATGGAAACTTGAAAAATAGCACAAAATTCCCATGTACCTTCAACCAGCTTCTACTAATGTGGGTATCTTACACATAACAGTGCTTAAAGTCAGGAAATTCATATTGATGTACTAATTATTATAGACCATATTTGAATTTTACCAGTTATTCCACTGGACTGGATCAATCTTTTTTCCAGTCCAGGATCCAGTCTAGACTCCTTCTTAAACTTGGTTATCTGTCTTTTTCGTCTCTCTGTGAAATCCTTGGTCTTTCATTCCTTTTTTTTCTTTTCTCCCTTCCTTCCTTCCTTCTACCTTTCTTTCTTTCCTTCTTTCCAATGACTTTGACATTTTTGAGTCCTAACTAGTAGTTTGGGGCTTCCCTGATGGCTCAGTGGTAAAGAATCCACCTGCCAATGCATGAGATGTGGGTTTGATCCCTGGGTTGGGAAGATCCCCTGGAGAGGGACATGGCAACCCACTCTAGTATTCTTGCCTGGGAAAGCCATGGACAGAGGAGCCTGATGGGCTCCAGTCCATGGGGTTGCAAAGAGTTGGACATGACTTAGCAACTAAATAACAACAACCTAGTAGTTATGTTATCAAATATCCCTCAGCCTGGATTTGTCTGATTAGAAGGGATAAAGCATTTTTGGCAAGATCACCACTGAAGTGATGTTATGACCTTTATCCTTCTCTGTTCATCACTTCAGAAGGTGCATGAGTGCAGTTTGTGCCACTAATGATATCAATTTTGATCACTTGGTT